CCCCTATGTTAGAGCCCCTATACAGCTTATTTATATGGTCCCACCTGGACTGCAAACCACAAGGTCGGCAGTTCAAACCTACCAGCTCCTCCTTGGAAATCCTATACTGGATTGCTGTGAGTCGGAACCAACTCGATGGCACTTAACAACAACCCAATCATTTGGTGTGAGTTACAGAGACTTGATAAGATTTGTTGTTGTTAGGTGCTGTCGAGTCAGTACTGATTCATAGCGCCCCTATTATGCACAACGGAAAGGAACTAACCTCACAATCATTGCTATGCTTGAGCCCACTGCTGCTGCCACTGTGACAATCCATCTCCGTGGAGGGGGGTGAGGTGGGGAAGGCCTTCTTTCTCCCTGACTACCCACTTTACCAAGCATGATGTCCCTCTCCATGGACTGGTCCCTCCTGATAATTTGTCTGAAGTATGAGAGACAAAGTTTGGCCATTCTGGCTTCCAAGGAGAATACTGGCTGTTTGAAAGTGAACTATATCACTATACCACATCCCTGAGGAATCAAAGGGGTGCTCAGCATTCAGTAGGGGAACCTTAGTGGAATGCAAGGTGCTGCTATGACACAGAATATTTAACTTGGAATCAGCAGAACTGCACTGAAGTTTGATTTTTTCCTGCTTTTTGATCTTGGGCAAGTCATCTCTTGTTAAACACTGTCTAGTAAGTTCCAACTCATAGCAACCCTACATCTGATTTTTGAGGCTTTGAATCTTTACAGGAGCAGAAAGCCTCATCCTTCTGCAGAGTAGCTGGTGGGTTTGAACCATGGACCTTGAAGTCCAGTGCTTATTATATGGAGCCACATTCTCCAAGTCATCTCTTACCATTATAAAATGGGAATACCAACATTAACTCATTACATTGCTGAAGTGAATAAATGAAGCAATGCCCATGGAAGTGCCTGGCCAGCAAGAGGATTACTAAACATCAATCCAAATACTTGAACTCCCCTCTCCTCCCTGTCAAACAACCTAGACAGGTCACTGTCTGATATCTCCAATGTACAACTCCCCTGGACTGATAAGCAGCAGCAGCACTTATCAAATGCAGTTTCTATTACACAAGGATGGCATAGGTTTAAATTTAATCTTATGCTAAGAATTTCATTCATTGTTATTTTCCAGATCAGCACTGTTAATATTTTATGATCAAATACAACACATACACACATTGTGCTCTCAAATAACCCTTGCTGTCATAGTTGTACGCTGTCAAATAGATTCCAACTCATAATGACCCTATACAGGGTTTCCCAGAGCAGTCAGTGAATTTGAAATGCCAACCTTGTGGTTAACAGTCTAGTGTTTATTCTATAATACCTTGTTGTTGTTGTTAAGTGTCATGAGTCCGTTCTGACTCATAGCAACCATGTACAGGGTTTCTGAGGAGTTGCTTACTTTGCAGTTAGCAGTCCAGTACTTATCCTACAGAGCCACACCAGGACTCTTAGCGACCAGTAAATCTGCTTTTGGCACCCTCTTAGCGTCCAGATATGTTTCATTACAAAATGTTTCCATTCCTCTTTAGGAACAAATGAACATTTTTGTAGTCATTGTTATGCTTGTTTAAAATAGTGCTGGGTGAGGTTAAAAAACAAAAAACCTGTGGTTTGACTTTATTCAACACAGTACAAACTTAAACTGAGTAGAACCATAAGGGGAACCACCCCAGACCAAACAAAGGGGATGGGCAGCAGATGGCAGAACAAAAGCAATAGGCAAGGCCAAGAAGGCCTTTAGTCTAGGTCTCTAGGGAAACAGCATAGCTCTAGCAGAAAATCCCAGCAGTCTGCACTTACAGGGTTGCTTGTTAAATCTAGCTCTGCTGAAAGCACCATCACTTCACACATGGCTTTGTAGTTCATTAAGAACTTTAGGCTCTGGAGTCAAAAGCAGACTTGAATTCTCATGCTAGTTTACTGCCACTTACAGAGTTTTGCCCCTTACACAAGTTTCCGGGTCCTTAAACTTCATGTTTCCTAATGTGAAAGATGGGATTAATGATACCTACACTTCAATGGGCTGTTTTAAAGATACAAGGGCATAATGCATGTAAAGCACTTAGTATAATGCATTAATACATAATGTTATTAACCCGTGGTTCACCACTGTTTTGCTTTTTTTTTAATTTTAGGTAATAGATGACTCAAAGAAAAGTTGGAAGATTACAAAATTACAAAAAAAAAAATTACAAGCCCCTAAAACTTTTCCGACTATTAACTTCAGATTCCCTAGCGAGTTGTTTCTGACAGCTCCACATTGCTTTCTGAATGACTACCATGACCTGGATAGGACTCATCCATTTCTGTCCACTCAAAGATGGCTCATCTCTAATCATATTCTCAGAAGCACTCAAGAACTAAAGATAGTTCCCAGCCTCAAAATCATCAAAGTGACTACAAAATAGAGACTGAAGGAGCTCCTTTACCTTTCAGTCTCCAAGAAGTTACCTGGGCAATATTTATATCCCGAAGACATGTTAGGATCAACTACTGAGCTACATTGGTTTCGCTAGGGATCCTCCTTTGCTCAGATTCACCAAAATAACCCATTAACCTTCAACAAGTATAATGAAAGTTTCCAAGCTGCTCAGTAGAGTCCTAATTATGTAAAATAGTGGAGTTTAAGATCTTTGAAGTTATCTTTTGTAAACCTTCCTTTAATATAACTCTAAAATATTTTCAACACTTTAAAAAGGGCCAGTGATACTTCATCACAGGATGCACAAAATTACTAATGTCATGTAAACACTTGAGTGTATGTACATAAACATAAGAATGTTTACTTGCATATTACATACACATGTTACATAATGAACTAAACATGGTATATGCAGTTGCAGATCAAATAAAATTTACAATTTCCATGAAGCACAAACGTTGCATCTGAACAAGGTCTTGTAAATTGTCTCTCCTCCCACTTTTCTTAGTCAAGAGTGGAAATAGAGTCCAAAGAATGTACATGAGCCAGGGCCGGCGGGAACACAAAGCAATCAGATCAGCTTCTCAGTTCAATGCTTTCCCACTACACTATATTCCTTCTCTGTGAAGATGGAACTGTTGTTAGTTGGCTACCACGCATAGTAGCCTTAAGTCTAACAGAAGAAACACTGCTCAGCCCTGCACCAGCTTCATGATCATTGGTACGTTTGAGGCCATTGCTACAGCTATTGTGACAATTCATTTCATTGAAGGTTTGCCTCATTTTGCATAAATGCCTAGTAATGTATCAAAGCAGGTACTAGCACTGCTTTCAAAAGAAACCGTTTTATATCTGCATTTCTCTCCGAGGTATACAGAACTCTCATGCACTGATGTCAACCGAGGTATACAGAACTCTCATGTCCACTGATGTCAACCCTTTTACAAAGAATAAACAAGCATTTGTTCACATAAGTAATTTGCTCCTGGACTTTGAGACAGATTCTTCACTTCCTAGGTGTGTGACCTTGGTAACTTTGCCCTAGTCTTTGTACTACTACTTTCAAGATCAATCAAATGTAATAATAGCCTTTAAGCCTGCAAGGTTGCTAGGAGATTTACACTTAACACAATACTTGCCGCATAACAACCAATAAGCGATGTTGTTACTGTTATTACAAATACCATTGTTATTTGTGATGTCATATTCCTGGCAAACAAGGAGCTCTGGTAACTTAGTGGTTACGAATCGGGCTGCGAACCGCAAGGTCAGCAGTTCGAAACTACCAGCTGCTCCGCAGGAGGAAGAGGAGGCTTTCTGCTCCCGTAAACATTTACAGCCTCGGAAACCCTGTTCCGGGTCGCTATCGGTCGGAACCGACTCGACAGCACTTAACAACAACAATTCCTGGCAGACATTAAGACTAAAACTCGATCTCTGCTTTTGAGGTCGTGGTTCTTTCAGCAACACAGTTTGGGGCATGGTGTGGCGTTGTGGGCTAATGAGTAAGACGGCAAAGTCGTTTGAACTGCAAGGTCGGTGCTTCAAGCTTACCAGCGGCTCCTTGGAAACCTTATACAGGGTCGCAATCAGAACAACAACAGGGTGATGGAGTACTGGTGTGGCCCTGTAGGATAAGAACTGGACAAAGTTGACGGTTCAAACCCACCAAATGCTCCTCGGAAATCCTATACAGGCTCGCTATGAGTCGGAATCGACTCCACGGCACTTAACAACAGGATGAGAGCGAGAGGGCGCCCTGGTAGCACAGTCGTTAAGCACCGGGCTTCTAGCCGAAAGAAAGGTCGGAGGTTTAAATTCTCCAGATTGTCCACATAAAAAGATGTGGCTGTCACTTCCGCGAAGAATTACAGCCTTGGAAACTCTATAGGGCAGTTCTTTTGTGCTCTATGGGCTCACCGTGAGTCGGAATCCACTGAATGGCACACACAACAACAGGGTGAGGGAGGAGAGGCGCGGATGTACCTGAAAAGTCGAGTGCAGCTGGGCGATGCCCTGAAACCAGGGTCACTCAGTGAATGGAAATCCCCAGAGAGAGTTTTTAGTTGGTCACCGGCGAGGGAGGCAGAACTATTTCCGCCGCCGTCTCAAGCCAGGCAGTGCCCCTTTTCCCAAGAGCGCCGAGGGTCAAAGCGATGCTATCTAGCACCGGCTGCATGCAGCCCTCCACGATCCTGTAGCGAACACACACCGAATTCCACCGGCGACTCTGATGTGACGTAAAACAGCGAACGTTATCCTAACAGTCTATTGGTCGCTTCCGTCCAATAGGGGGAGCCTTGTGCGACACAACAGATCAGGCTGTTCCGTCTTTCCTGTGTCTCCTCTTCCTCCTAGTTTAGGTGTCTCCACGGTGACCGCTACTGGTCACCCATTTGGCCTCTAAGCCCGGATGTACGTCATTTTCTATGCGCCGGAAGCTGAAACATCTACACTGGTTCGAGTTGAAAACTCCTTGCCTGGAGGGAGTCAGACATCTAAACTGGTGGAGGATGTGTGAGACAGCGGGACGGTAGCCTTGTTGCTGACCCCAGTGGTAATGGCGGTGTTTCACGACGAGGTGGAGATCGAGGATTTCCAATATGATGAGGAATCGGAATCATATTTCTACCCCTGTCCGTGTGGTGATAACTTCTGTATCACTAAGGTAACAAGAGTTGCGCCCAGCGAGTCGACGGAGCAGGCGCGACTTCACTCTGTTGTGTCTCTTCCGTCGTCACGTCGCTGTTTAGACTCTGGGTCGCCCATGCCCACTTTATCCTATTTCTGAGGGCTCAAAGCACTCGATGTGTGAAGCTATATCGTTTTGATCATCAGGCAATCCGGGGTAAGGGTGGTGGAGGTTCCTTCCTGGAATTCTTGTTTTGGAGGAGGGGGACGCGGTTTTCCTCTCTAGAGATTTGGGTGATTCTCTTAAAGGGACGTTTCATGGGAAATGATATTGGCCTTTCTTGCAGCAGTGCCTTTTGTCCCTCATCCACCTTGGGTTAGAAACAAGCCTCAAAGGAGTTTGCACAAATAGGGTGGGAGGAATGTGAGGTGAAGATGGGAAGATTATACTGACGCCATGGTGTTTCATTTTGTTATAGGAGGATTTGGAGAATGGGGAAGATGTGGCAACGTGTCCAAGCTGCTCTCTCATTATAAAAGTGATTTATGACAAAGTAAGGATCCTATAACAAACAGGGGAAGGGGTGTGTGTAAGGCATATTGTTAAATGCCGTTGAGTCGATTCAATTCATAGCCACCCAATATAAGATTTCCGAGGAGTGACTGATGGGCTTGAACTGCCTACCTTGTGGTTAGCTGTTCAGGGCTTATCCTACAGCGCCACACCAAGACTACTAGCAAGGCATGCTGTTTGTTGTTAAGTGCAGAGTCTGTTCCAATTCATAGCGTCCCTGTTTAAGGGTTTCCTAGGAGCAGCTGGTGAGTTTTAACTGCTGACCATATGGTTAGCAGTCCAGTACTGATCCTATAGCAACGTATCAGGAGACCTCATGTAAGGCATGACAACTACTTAAACAGCCTTTCTGTGATATGTAAGTGCTGGAGAATGTTTTATAACAGCGTTATTCAAAATGTTATGCTATTTAAACAAAATATTTTAAAAACATTAATGATCAGCTTTATAGTAAATTAGAGTCCTGATGTGGTCCTGTAGGATAAGCACTGGACTGTAAACCACAAGGTCGGATATTCAAACCTGCTAGCCACTCCTTGGAAACTCTATACAGGGTCACTATGAGTTGGAATAAACTCTATGAAATTAAACTCATTTTAGCTTTGGAAGGGGTAATGTACTAAAGAAAATGCATTTTCAATTTTGTTTAGTGAAAATTTATTACTTATTAAATAAAAGAAAAATGATTAAAATAAAGAAAAATCACTGCCTTCAAGTCAAATCCAATTTATAGAGATCCTATAGGACAGAATAGAGCATTATAGGGTTTCCAAGACTGCAAATCTTTATGGAAGCAGAATGCCACCTACACAGGGCAGCTGGTGCCTTTTTGTTGGCATAAGAGTGCTTAATCACTGTTCCACCAGGACCCTTCCAATTATTAAAAGAAGAAATATAATTATAGAGTATTAAACGGTCTTTATCATTCCTCTAAAGATTCCTGGTGGTACAGTAGAAAGCTATGAGAGAGTTCTTTGTTCTTACAGAGTTCTTACGAGTCACAATCCACTAAATGGCATTGAGTTTGGTTTGATCATTCCTCTAATGGAGCCCTGGTGGCGTAGATTACGTGTTGGGCTGCTAACCTCAAGGCCAGTAGTTCAAATCTATTACTTGAGGGCGAAAGATGAGACTTTTGCTTCTGTAAAGATTGACAGCCTTGGAAACCCTATTCAGGCTTGCTTTGAGTTGGCACCAACTTGACGGCATGCAACCACCACCCAAGGAGCCATGGGAGCGCAGTAGCTCTGTAGGTAAGCACTGGACTGCAAACCACAGGATCATTGATTTGAGGCCACCAGCCGCTCCGCAGGAGAAAGATGAGGCTTTCTTTTCCCACAAAGGTTGAGTGCCTCGGAAACCCTATATGGTTCTCTTAACAACAGAGGCGTCGTGGTGGCACAATGATTGGTAAGTGCCTGACTGCTAAGAGAAGGGTGTGCAGAGGAGACTTGTGCTCCATAAGGATGTTGAGTTCTGATCTTCAGAAACAAATTGTCAGGCCTGTCTACAAGGCACCCTTGGGTGGAACTTAACTGCAACCTTTCAAGCGCTTAACTGTTGTCATTACCCAGGGAGACTCCGATCTATACATGTTGTTATTTTTAAGTGTCATTGAGTCAGTTCTGACTCATAGCAACCCTGTGTAGGGTTTCTGAAGAGCAACTGGTGGGTTTGAACTGCTGACCTGCTGGTTAGCAGTCCAGTGCTAACACTATAACGCCACACCAGGTCTCATAGAACTCTCAGTTTTTTGGGTGTTTTTTTTTTTTTTAAGATATAGTTCATAGTTACTGAAATGATTTTACAATATCGTTTTAGTCTGAATTAATGTCTGTTGACCTTGGAAAACAAAATAACTGTTATCACTGTCACCTGCACTAATTTTGGTCTGCTAAAAACTGTGCACGGTCACTATGAGTCAGAACCAACTCCACAGTGCTTACAGCAGCAAAGTATGCTTACTTATCTATGCCAAGAAATTTGGAAGACAACTATCTGACCAACTGATTGGAAGAGATACATATTTGTGCCCGTTCCAAAGAGAGGTAACCCAACGGAATGCGGAAATCATTGGAAAATATCTTTGTTATCCCATTCAGGTAAAGCTTTACTAAAGGTAATACAGAAACGGCTGCAAGCGTACATTGACAGAGAACTTCCAGAGGTTCAAGCTGGATTCAGAAGACGTGGAACCAGGGATATCATTGCTAGTGTCCAATAAATCTTGACAGAAAGCAGAGAACACCAGAAAGATGCTTACCTGTGCTTTATTGACTATGCAAAGGCTTTCGATTGTGTGGATAATGGCAAGCTATGGGCAACATTGCAAAGTATGAGTATTCTGGAACACTTAATTGTGCTCATGAGGAATCTACATGGATTAAGATGCAGTTGATCAAACAAAGCATGGGAACACTGAATGGTTTAAAATTAAGAAAGGTGTGCGACAAGGTTGTAGTTTTTCACCATACTTATTCAACCTGTACACTGAGCAAATAATCTGAGAAGCTGGGTTATATGAAGAAAAACATGGCATCAAGATTGGAGTAAGACTCATAAACAGCCTGTGATATGCAGATGATATAACCTTGCTTGCTGAAAGTGAAGAGGACTTAAAATATTTACTGATGAAGATCAAAGAGCACAGCCTTTGGTATGGATTGCATCTCAGTGTAAAGAAAACATACATCTTCACCACTGGACCAGTAACCAACATTCTTTCCAACAGAGAAAAGATTGAAATTTTCAAGGACTTTATTCTTGGATCAGCCATCAACACTCATGGAAGCAGCAGTCAAGAGATCAAACGACGTATTGGGCAAATCTGCTGCACAAGACCCTTTTAAAGTCTTGAAGAGCAAAGAGCAAAGATGTCAGCTTGAGGACTAAGGTGCGCCTAACCCAAGCCATGGCGTTTTCAATAACCATATGCATTCTGGTACCTCTGGTAGCATAGTGGTTACGAATTGGGCTGCTGATCTCACAGTTAGCAGGTCAAAAATACCACGGTAGAAAGACAAGGCTTTCTGCGTCCGTAAAGATTTACAACCTCGGAAACCTTGTACAGGGTCACTATGAGTTGACACCAACTCCACAGCATATATATAACAACAACATATGCATGTGAAAGCTGGACAGTGAGTAAGGAAGACTATAGAAGAACTGATGCACTTGAGTTATGGTGTTGGAGGAGAATATTGAAAGTGCCATGGGCTGCCAAAAGAACCAATAGATCTGTGTTGGAAGAAGTGCAGCCAGAGTGCTCCTTGGAGGCCAGGATAACCAAACTTTGTCTCTCATACTTTGGACATATTGTCAGGAGGGACCAGTCACTGGAGAAGGATATCATATTTGGTAAAGTGGAGGGTCAGAGAAAAAGGAAGACTCCCAGTGAGATGAATTGGCAAAGTGGCAGCATCAGTGGGCTCAAGTGTGGCAACAGTTGTGAGGTTGGCCCAGGACCAGGCAGTGTTTCACTATGAGTCGGTACTGACTCAGTGGCACCTAACAACAACAACAAAGTTTGGTGCTTACAAAGCTATATACTGAAACTTTAAGGTGCTTAAGGATATATTTATTGAGTATATTGGGGAAAGTCTAGAGTCTCATGGAAGAAGTAGCCTAATCTAAACCCATAATTTAGAAACGAAACCTTTTATTCTTTCAGTTAACTTTCTCAAGTCTCTGCTGTACACCAGACAGTGTTCAATGAATTTGTTTTCAGTGAACCAAACAGACAAAAATCCCTACTCTTACAGGACTTAGAATCTAGGGAGTGTGAGGAAGAGACAGATAAACATGTAAATTATATGTTGTGTATATAGGAGCCCTGTTGTTGCGCTGTGGGTTAATGTGCTGGACTGCAAGGTTAGCAGTTCAAGCTCCTTGAAAACCCTGTACAGGGTCACTCTGAGGCCGAACTGACTTGATGGCACTGAAGAACAAATAGAGAAAATAAAATGTGCTTTAGAGCTAAGAAAAAGGTAAGGGAGAATTGGCGTGCTGGACTGGGAGGAGGCATGGATGAAGACGCAATTTTAAATAGAATGGTTATGTTAGATCTTAATAATACATCTGAGCAAATATTGAAGGAGGTGTGGAAATGAGCTATGCATATAAGGAGGAAGCGGGATTGGTCAGAGAAGTCCAGCAAAGGGAGCATTGACTGAAGAGACCTTAAGACAGGAATGTGTCTGTTTTGTTTTTTTCTCAAGGAAACCAGTGTAACCAGAGCAGAGTAAATTAGTGTGAGAATAGTCTAAGATGAAGTTAACGGAGTAATGCAGATCACAAAGATATTTGTGGGCAATGTAAGGACTCTGGGCATTGCTGCGAGTGATATTGGGAACCACTGAAAGAGTTTTGAAGAGAGCTGTACTATAATCTTACTTGGGAGTCCTGGTGTGGTGCTGTAGGATAAGTCTTGGACTGCTAACCACAAGGTCAGCAGTTCACCCCTCCAGCTGCTCTTCAGAAACCTTGTACAGGGTTGCTATGCTTCAGAACTGACTTGGTGGCACTCAACAACAACATAATCTTACTTGAGTTTTTTTAAATAAATGATTCTGGCTACTTATTTGAGAGAGAGCATATTGTGAGGGAACAGAAAAGCCTGTTCACAGACTCATACTGATCAAGGCAGCAATCAAGTTGACTTGGGCCAGGCTGCAACAATGGAGGTAGGGAGAAGTGGTTGGATTCTGGATACAGTTTGAAGCCTAAAAGTTTTATTACTGATTGGCGATAAGGGTATGAGAGGAATTGAGGGTATCACCATAGTGGCCTTAGTATTGGAAAGATGGGAGCAGGGAAGGGTGAGGTAACTGCAGGTATCAGATGGGAAGGGGGCAACCATGATTAGAAGTATGTTGACTATTGTAAGTTTGAGAGGTCTGTTATCTGAGTGGAGTTGTCAAGTAGGCAATTGAATATATATATACAGTTCAAGAGATACCTGGAGAGATGTAAATTTGGGAGTTGTCATTAAATGGATGGTATTTAGAACCATGAGACTGGATTCCCGGAGCTGTGAATGTCAACGGTGGTGATGGTGGTTGTGTGCAGTCAAGTCAGTTCTGATTCCTAGCAACCCTGTATAGGGTTTCTGAAGCTGTAAAACTTTACCCAGGCAGAAAGCCTGGCACTCTCTTGCAGAGTGACTAGTAGGTTCGAACTGCTGTCCTTATAGTTAGCAGTCCATATCATAATCCACTATCAGGGCTCCTTGTGAATGTAGCTAGAGATGAACAGAACAAAGGACTAAACCTTGCGGTAATTAAACAGTAAGAGGTCAAGAGGGAGCCAACAAAGCTGACTGAAAAAGAGGAAAATCAATAGTGTCATAGCTAGAAAGTCAGTGAGAAAGGGAGGAAGAACTCAACCTTAAAAGCTTTTGATAGTATGAGAACTGAGAATTAACCATTGGACTTAGCAACAAGGAGGTCATTTGTGATCGTGCTTGATGGAGTAGTGGGAGCAGACACCTGGTGGGAGAAAACCAGCTGGAGAGCCTGGGAGAGGAAGAAGACATTTCTTTCAGGGAGTTTTTCTGCAAAGGTGAACAGAGACAAGAGCTATCACCGGTGATGATAAAGTGGGTCAAGAGAAAGTTTAAAGTAATAGGTATTTGGCAGCACAGGTGTAGATACAGGAAGATGGATTTAACCAGGGCTGTGGTTTTACCTGGAGCCCTGGTAGTGTGATGATTAAAACCTACGTGCTCTGTAGAAGAAAGATGTGGCAATCTGCTTCCATAAATATTGTTGTTAAATAGCAATCCAGTATAGGGTTTCCAAGGAGCAACTGGTGAGTTTGAACCACCGACCTTGTAGTCCTGCGCTTATCCTACAACGTCACACCAGAAGCCCTCCATAAAAATCACAGCCTTAGAAACCCTATGGGGCAATTCTCGGTTCTCTAGGATTGCTATGAGTCATTATCGACTTAACAGTAGTGTATTTAGTTATATTGTGTGGTGAGTTTGCCAGGCAGCAGTAATTAAGTGCTGGGCTGCTAACCAGAGCAGGGGTTCAAACCCACCAGCTGTGGCACAGGAGAAAGAGCGATTTTATGATTGACCATGGAATTTGACCTAGGTCACGAGAGAGAAGAGAACATCAGGAGAGTGAGGGGCAGTGAAACGTGGTAGGACTGATGCAGTGGAGTATGAAATGAGGGAACTTTATCCAGGATGGTGGTGGTGGTAGTAGTGTGGAGTTGGTTCATCCAGGGTAGTAGGTAACAGCAAAGTTGGAGGGGTTTGAAAAGGAGAGCGGGAGAATGGTGGCCATAAGTTGCAACCATTCCTCCCTACTTGGGTCCTGTTGTACTAGGGGCCCAGAGAAAACAGAGTCGCCTCTTGAGGGAGACATAGGGAAGCCAGGAATCTGGCTGCATCTCAACCTCAGTACTATTGACATTTGGGGTTGGATAATTCGGTGTTGCACATGGCTGTTTTATATGAGGGGGCTTCAGAAAGTTCATGAGAAAAAATCCATTATCTTTGAATTCCATGTGTTCCATGAACTTTCTGAATCCCCGCTCAGACTGCTGTAGGATACTTCACAGAATCCCTGGTCTCTCCCCACTAAATGCAGTATTGATTCTCTTCACCCAGTTATGACAACCAAAATTGTCCACAGACATTGCCAGCTATTCCAGGGAGGAAAGTCACCCTTGGTGGAAAACCAGTGTGTTAAACTAAGGAACAGTGTGAACGTTTTGCTGACAATAGACCGTGACTTCTAGAAGACACCGGGCAAAGTCTCCGGTGCTGTGAAAGACAGATAGGAACAGCAAAGGGGTGATCCTTATGGGCATCAGATTGCAAGAGACAAGGGACAGCCTGGGAGGTGGAGGCTCTGTGGTAGCTAACATGAACTGGGGTGGTGGTGGTGGTCGTTTACCGTGGAGTTGGTTCCGACTCATAGCGACCCTGTACAGGGTTTCCGAGGCTGTAAATCTTTATGGGAGCAGAAAGCCTCATCTTTGTAGGTGATCAGAAATTCAACTTTAAATACAAATTAGCTAACATGGCAGATTTTCTGTGTTGTTGGTAAATGCATGCAGACCTTTTCTATTAAGTGTTAACTTTGGAGAGGACAGGTGTTTGAATGACCAAGTACTGAGGTAAAGAAGCTTTAGTTTAAATAACATTTAATACAGAGGCTTAAAAGATGTGACATTCCTTTTAAAGGTGATTTCTGAGAAGTGGGTGCTTGTAAAGATGGGAAGGTTTGTTTATAAGATAAGATACTATATACTATATAGTAAATGTGAATTCAGGACTAAAAGCTGATATACATTGTAAGGATTGTAATTCTGACATTGACTGAACCAAGGATGCAGTGACATAGCATGGAGAAGCTAATTACAGGACTATATTGAGTCTGTAACGAACTTGGAGTTCAATAGTAATGCATTTACGACATGGTTAATGTCATTTCTCATTCTGTTTTAGGATCAGTTTATGTGTGGAGAAACAGTCCCAGCCTCTTCCACCAACAAAGAGTTAGTTAAATGCTGAGGAAGGCCTGAGAAGTCCAAAGCTTGAACAGTTGGGAATAAGCCAGGATGGAAAAATCACAGGCCTCTTCGTGGGGGCGTTTTGTGGCTTGCTGTTCCATCAGACTGAGGATTCTCCCCATCAACAGCCACCTTCCTCTTCAATTAAAGAAGCCGCCTATGACATAACATGCCAGATTTTCATGTTTATGACTGAATTGCAACTTTCTTGCTTCCCTCAGTTTCATCATTTTTGTATCTTGAACCAAATCGCTTCAATATTTAATAACAGCATCATCTACCTCAAGAGTTATTATTTGTTATTAACAAAAATGGGATTGTACTTTTGGCTTGGTAGTTAAGATTAAAATTAACCCTCCCATTGAAATTTGACATCACTTAGTTCAATATCAGCTCCTAAAAGGTGGAGCATCTGTATAACTCACATTAAGATGAGCTTGAAAACAGGAGAACTTTTCTGAATAAATATGTCCATGGAGGGAACATCTAATGAATTTATAACTTAAAGCCAAACAGACATAAGCTCTAAAAGATAAATGTTACCCTGGAGAAAAATAAATATGTAAAGATGGCCACTAAACTTCCCTTTGCTACAGTGCTAGGAGTGGCAAGAATTAAAATCACATATGGAAATTTGAAAATTGCCTTTATAAATTGTGTGTGTTTTTTTTTCTTTTTGAAGAGGCATTCTTGTCTAGCAACTAGCAAGAAAAACGGCTTACCAGAGGTGAATATTCTGTAACTAATGGATAAATGCGCACATACCTACTGGAGGTTTCAGTCAAAACAAGTATATGGCCATTTTTTTTTTTTTTTTTTTCACCTTGTCAGCAGTATGACTGTGTTTGACCACATTAGACTGAGACAGTAAATCATTGGAAGTTGTCTGCCAGAATGCTTGGAACATTACCAGAAGCATCAGTTGGAACATTTTTGCTGAGACATTAAATCATTGGAAGTTGTCTGCCAAAATGCATGGAATTATCACTGCAAGCATCGGTTGGCACATTCTTGATGGGACTCTGACATCCAGAAGTAATCCACAACTGCTGTGCAGATGCTGTTAGAACCAGAAGTGATGACTGACTCGAATGAAGAGAAGTGAACTCAAATATTGATGGTTTTTGTAGGTATCAATAGCATAATAGTGCCTTCTGCTGATGTTGGATTTCTGAGCACAGAACAGGAAGAAAAGTTGCCCAGGTCCCAACATCCCAGGAAAAAAGCATAAACAGCTCTAGGAATCAGTGTTCAGTGATAAGCTGCAACAAAGGGATTGATTTTTGTCTCCAAAGCAACCGAGTCACTAACAGCTCCAAAAAACAACACATCAGGATTCATCCCCTTGTTAAGAAGAAAAGGAAACAGTATCTTTTCAAATATGAATTACAATCCTGTGCAATAGTTTTGCCTTATTTAACCCAGCATGTTTGTGGAGCACCTTACAACTGATTTGCAACCCAGGTTCTTTTACTGGCTTTGCGATCCTTAGAAGGCTAGTGGGTCCTGCGGCTGGATAATTAGAAGTCTGGATCAGGTGATTTTTAAGCTGTCAGTTCTATGTTGTTGGACTTGGTAACTTGCAGGAACTGAAATGGCAATTGAAACCTTTGTAAACAAACTAATTTACAATGAAACACTGCATACTTCAAAAACTTTGATGATGCCACATTTTGGAGTTGGAAATTATAGTCAGCTGGTTCTGCATATACATTGATGTATACACCCAGAAACATTTCTTTAGGAAAGCGCCTAATATTTTTTTTGATAACTGCTTCAATTTATTACCAGGATAAAGTTGGCACGCTAAATAAAGACAATTTAAATTCATTTGTTTTCATGTAATTTTTCTGTACCTACATAATCAGCATTTTGAGTTAAAAAGTTGGGTATAATAATTTTGTATTGGGTAGAAGTCTTTATTTGCTTTGGGGCATTTTTAATTAGGTTTCTGGTTTGAAAAACTTTTCAATTATAAAGAACTGGCCTCTATCGTTATAGTTTGGTCACCTGGATTTTGTGGGGTGGGGAAATAGCTTTGATTCAAGTGGTGGGAAGGCAGAGAGATACGAGGCATTCTTAGATGAGTAATTCATTTGGTTGCTAGGAAATGACTATGGAAGGCTGATGACCAGTCAGTCATTTCAGTGGTGTGAGTCCGGCTCTAGTCTGAGAATATATAACTATGTGTTCCTTCATTATAACTTGGACAAGTTATTTAATCTGTTTATCTCTGTGCCCTGGCTTATGAAATATAGACCATGATAGTGCCTCTTTCATAGGGTTGCTCTGTGGGCTCATTCAGCAAACGTTTGGAATGTTTGCCATGCACTAGGGAGTCCTGGCATGACGCTGTAGGAAAAACACTGGACTACAAGGTTAGTGGTTCAAACTCACCAGCCGCTCCTCAGAAACCCTATACAGGGTTGCTATGAGTCAGACTCTACT